AGATGAGAAGTACAGTTATTGATTATTAATAGACCTTAATAATTTCCAAAATAAACGGGAATGAAAAAATAAAAAAAAGTAGCAATCAAAATAGAAGTATCAGTAGTATTAGAAGCGGGCACAGTTCGGCGACGGGGGGGGGGCATTTTGCACTTTCACTGCTTCACTACTTCTGGTTTACAAGTCTCACTCTGGTGAAACTTGTGAACTCTTGTGAAGCTGGAGCAAGCTCGTCTAGCCACCATGGTAAAACGTGTCAACTCAAGAAAAGGCTATCTAGATGGGTCGACACATCAATGACAGGCAAAATGCCCCTCCCTGGTCGCCGAACTGTGCCTTAAAGCGAGACACTGATTTTAGAGCTGTCTGTATTGAGGGAGGAGGTGGCTGGGGTGGCATTTGGAGAGCTCGTTGTGCAAAACTGGTACCATGTCAAAGAGTTGAAAATTTCTGGCTGAGCTAAGGGAGTGAAGGATCTACGATGTGGGTAACCAAATTCTTTGGGTGAAAAGGAGATTTCGCGTCACAGCAACTCGATTTTTACATATCTACTCTGTCTCTGTCTTTTGCAAGTCTCCAAAGTCAGCCTCCTTAAGGTTCTATCGTTGGAAGAGTTCCTGTCATTCCTCTCCACTACCGGTATCCAAAGATTAAGCGTTCCGCGTCGCGCGCCCAGACTGCGGATTCTGGGGCTTTGTAAAGGAGGCTAAGGTTTGGGCACGGCGCCAAGACCGTACTTCTCACCGATTGTTGGCGTGCCGCTTACAGAATTGGAGTACGTCTTGGCGCCGCGCCGGACCACCTCCAGCACCGCCAAGCGAAACAGACTTGTAATTTATCCAATAACGTAATTGGCCAGAGCGCCCAACCAGTCGTTTCGTCTCGCCTCTTTTGAGTTAAATGGAAACGGACACAAAAATGAGGAACCCGTAAATATTGGGGGATCCTCCCGAATATTCCGATAGTGCCAAATGTCTTCTCTATCTTCCCTACATATTTGCACCTCCTGGTTCGCATTCTGCCACCTGTCGAAGGCTTTACTTTTACGAAATCTCTTTTCTTTTCCTGTTTTTATGGGGCAAATCCAAATACTGGCCATTGCTAGTGCAGTGACAACAAGAAATCAATCACTGACCTTTCGGCATTTTCCAACTCTGTCGCCATTCCTGTGCTTATTCTCGTACAATCTCCTGCATTCCATCAAGTAAACGGTTCAGGGGTGAAATCTCGCTTTCTCCCACATAAAGCGTGGTATCCTCAGCAGATTCATGAACGCCTTAACCCAGATTCTTAAAACAGGAAAATGTTTGGCAATAGGTGTGGGTGGTGTAGGTAAGCAACAAGGTTGGATACGTTAACCTCAGTTAAGCCTTCATGAAGTCCTCGCATTTCCGGTGAAAGCAATATTAATTCGAATTTCACGTTTCGTTTCAATTCGACAGCCATCGCATTGGCTCGATAGACCAACGGCATCATCGAAATTAGCTCCTCTTCCAAAATCATATCAGCTGAAATTCACGTCAAACTCTCTTCCATATATGCTAGCTCACGGTTTGACCCTTGGTGGCCAAATGTTCAAGAGTATCAGGGCAAGTCCTCTCCCCTAGTAGGATTTTTACTGAATACGACCCCTCCTCCTAATTTTTCTTCTATATATACAGCCGGCTTTAACACCAATGAACCGATATATTTGGCGCCAGATTCTCTCCCAGAAAAAAATGGCACGCCAAGGTGAGTCGGCTGTCCGCCAGGGGCTGCTTCAACAATGATTTACGATTCGGTACCATTAGACGTACGACCCAGCGCCGTATGAGCAGCCCAGTAATTAAAAGAGTTCCGTTTCCATTATGGAGCGCGCCTGGCGAAAGCCAGGTCAGCTTGGCGAAGCCGAGCTAAAGAGAAGGAGGAGAGCTCGGCGTCAGCCCTAGCGTATAACATAAAGGTATTCTGACTTTTCCACACTTAGCTACCAGTTTTATGTAAATAATTCGGCATTGCGAACCGCTTTGCGTCGCGTTGCGCTAATCGTGGATATCTAGTACCTTTGCTTTTGCCGTCTTCGTTCATGATACCGATACCGGCTCCTTGGGCAATTTCCTTCTGCGCTTCTTCGTAGGTGATATCCTTTCGAGCACCACCTTTTGTTGGATTAGTTGAAACGTACAAAGGTGGTTCACCAAAAAGCACCTCTGAAAGTAGAATTTTAACTGACAGGTGCCAGCACAAAGGATTGCGTGAAGTGGTGTCAGTACCCCCCCCCCCCCCTCAAATTTCCTTCTCCAGTAACGACGCCCTTTCCCCATCTCACCGAAAACTCCCGAATCCAGGTTCCCCAATTTTGCAGTAAGCACCCACTATCACTCTGCTAGCTATTGTATCTGCTATAGTAAGCAAACTGTGTTGTTCTGAGAACTGGGGCATTCTTGGTACATTTTTTTCAAAAATTACGGGTAAGAAATATAAAGTAAAAGCTACAACATGTTTGGTTAGGACAACTGCATCGCACCCGCCCGCTTCTAGAGGCTATCTCCCCTAACTTCACTTTACCTGTCATTTTGTGCCAGCTCTTTCGTCTTCACAACCTTCTTGCCGTTAATAAGTATTTCGGCTTCCTGAAATCGTAGGATAACAGGTTTCCTTGAGAACAGGGCAAATTCTCGTAATGGCAGCAAGACAGGCATTACGGTTTCCTTAGGAATATTTAGAAACGTGCAATTTCGTTCACTTTAAAGGCCGACTCGCGATGAGCCAGCGAAAAGTTTTTGATTAGGTAACAGAATTGTTTGTGCTGACTTTCTCGTGAAGGAAAAAGCAGGGGAAACCGTCGAGAGGACTCCAAATAAGGCCCTACTTGTGCTAGTGCTCGCGAAAGACAAACAATTACTGTGGATATCGGGAGAGAGGCCAGAGAAAACAGCGAGAGAGCATGCAAGCAAAGGAGAGCATAGATAAGACATCTGTCACTGTGGGCGGAGTCACTTGAGCAGCCTTGTGCTTTCCCTCCGCCACCTTACCACTTTCTGACCTGAAACTTACAGGGTTGTTCGTTGCAGTCCACACTATCTCTCCGTACTGATGAGCTTAGACAGTTGTAACTGTTCGTGAGCTCTGCATTCAAAAGTACAGTTACGCCGTGAAGAACCATCATTGGGGGGGGGTTAGAAAAAAAAGTAGAACCAATCCTTGGTCTTGCGAGAATTTTTTCCGTTTCACCTATTCACTGCCCCCTCCCTACCTAACCTCCTGATTGGCGGCTTGCAGTGTACTATTTCTAGTATGCTTCGGATGAATATGTCAGAGATGGTCAGTCTTTCCCCCCCCCCCCCTCCTCCATCCAATCTCGCTTGTCAACGTCGGGAGAAATCTGATAGAACATAGTGAGTTGAATAGACCCCAGTTGAATAGACTAAATAGGACTCCCTCTTGCCTTCAACTAACGTAACGTGCAACCAGCCCACAACTGCATGGTGGAGTGATACCACGGGGTCCTTACTGACATGTATGTGGCAAGAAATGCGCAGAGATGGCAAGTAAGCTGGAATACCAGCAAAAAAATCGATAACACGATCGACCATAACTTACCCCACAAGGTGTAATGGTCACTTTTTTGTTCTTCGAATTAACTACAACTGCATGTTGTGGTAGTATGGAAAGTCCGTTTAATTGCACCGTTGGAGCCGGAACAGCTGTTTTGTTCCCTTAAAAATATAATTTTGATGATGAACTTGAAAAATGGCCAATTATTGTATTCTTACTTTGAAATTCTGAGAAATTTATGTTTCATGCGCAGCCTAATTTTTACGTGAACTTTAGTTCAAATAATTTCTCACGACGCACGCAAAAGCATATTTCTGCGATGATTATGTGGGCGGAGTCGCTTGAACCACGCGCACCTCATTGATGCCACTGCCATCTTAGAACGGTCAACCAATGAGCAGGGTGCGCTAGCCTAGGAGACTCCGCCCATACAATCAGGCGTGGAATGGATCTCTGATGCATAGGTGGACTTATGCCAAAAGTGTTCAAATTCAACTCTACCGATCGTTACTTCTCCTGGCGGCAAGAAATGAACAATAACATCGGTCAGAGCCGGGTCTTCGTTGAGGTTCCACAAATGCGGAACCTCTTTACGTTGCTTGAGGATTGCCTGACGCTCAGCAGATGTGCTTTGAAGCTGAAAAAAATTATTAAAATGCCTCTTCATGAGCAACGGATAACAGTGAACATTCGGCCTAGACGCGACGCAACTGCGTGCGTCCCATCTTGTTGGGCTCGATACTTGTTGCTATTTATTCACTTTGAGTTTGCAATGGATCGTAGT